TCGCGGCGAGCAATAGAGGAATAAAAAATTTGGAATTCTGGTATGCAATCAGGAATAAGAGCTCACTCTGTTAAATCCCCCGCGACAAAGTATGGGCTCTTTGTTTCATGGTTGCGTAAATATCAGTATTGAGATATGTTGTGCCTAACCCCAACATTGCATGTCAGACGGCAGAGGTGGTGACGCAGCGCCCCTGTGTTCTAGAAAAAGGAACGGAGCCGACTTGCAACGATTAAGATTTTTTTTGAAATGCTTGCTGAGAACTATTTCTCATATTGCATATGAGTATTCTGGTATGCAAGCAGGAATAAAACAACGACCCACCACGACACGACAAGGACGACGACAGCCACGACGACAACAACGACAATGGCAACAACAACAAGTACGCGGTGGAGCTCAATGATCGGAAGATGAGCTGCGACAAAAGGTTTCATCAGAAACCAAACAAAGACTTCAATGCATGGGTGGTAGAGGAGAATGTTCCAAAATCAAAGCGTTCCACTAAGGGTTGCTGAGGAAACACGGCAAGGTGAAGAATAACGACCAAAATTTCCAGAACTACAAAAAACGACCTGGAGATTGTGAAGCCCAATAATTTGAGATCCAGTCTAGTCTGGATGGCGATCCATGTTGAAGGAAGGGTTGTAAATTGTTTAAACGCCAAGCTGGGACAGGACATAAAAGAAGGGAGGTGATAGCTAAGTGCATTCGCTCTTGAAACCCCAAGATGTCTCTGAATGGTGTACAAAAGTTGTTACGGCTGATTGAAATCGCAACTGGAAGTTAAACCCCAACAAAAGATCAAAGATGTGGAAATGGAACATCAACAAATTTGCATGCAGGAAGGTAAAATGATACAGTGTCAAGATCAAAGCAGGGTGTTTGACGTATCACGCATGTCGTGAACCAAATGTGTTTGACTGATTTGAAAAATTTTCAATTAAGTGAGACATTTTGGGTTGCGCATGTGAACAAATGTGTCGATTGCGGCATAAAACATGGCTCAAGAATCACAGGGAGCGTTGAGAAGACAAACAAACGCGATGTTGTACGGATGGTGTCACGTTATTTGGAAGACTTCATGAAAACCTGAGCTGGTTTGACGTTTCTTTTTATGATTTTGTCCAGCAGATGTTCATCAGGAGCGTCATGGGGCACTTGACGAGTGCCAGATGACAACATTCAGGATGACAACATTCAGGAATCGATTATTAGGGCAGGGCAAAGGTCTTCACTGCCAAAGAGTATTGTTACCATACATATCATCATTGTACTACTGTTTTGAGGAATGGGACGCATTAGGACTATCAGCTGCGCAGCCAACATTTTACACCAGCCGTGTCCCGACAATTATCTCTATGTCACGAGAGAATTATGGGGTCCCCAACATTCATTTTTTTGTGCCAGAATGCCGTGTTCCCCAAGCATGAGACGTGAAACTGGCTTTTCAACTTAGTTCATGGAATTTCTACGGCTTCGAAAATTCACGGTATGAACCACATGTAAAACAACGAATCTTCCGTAATTCTGCAACATTCGCTCTCCGAGATGCATTCGCAACATGCTTATCCTACAAGAAATACAAAAACACCCCAATTTGAGAGCCCACTGTGCCGTTCCTGCCGATATGTTCATCAAGCATTTCATTTTATGCGTTTATCTCGCAAAATGGGTACATGTTTTGACATGTATGTTCCTAATTGTTCTTGATTTGCCGTCTTTTGATGCATTTCCATGTGTTGATGCTTAAAGTCTTGGATGATATTACGTCCTCATGGATGGCGTTTAGTTTCAGTCAGGGGGCAGTTGGTCACCTGACCAATGTTTGTGGTTTCTGGTCCAGCGATGGCCGTTTGTCAGCGCGCTTCCTTGTTGTGGCAATGTTGTGGCGTTTGTTGTAGTTCAAGTGATGCATATAATCAGGTTTTGAGTCTCGGTGCTGTCGACAAGATGATTGTTTTGTCCGGCCTGCCCTTTTACGCTGTCATTTTCACAGCCTCCGCATTTTTACGCGCTTCATGTTGCTGCGATTCTTTCGGAATTTGCACATGGCGGTTTAGTATATTCCAAGCTTTGGCTTCCAGTTTTCCCTTGGTGATGCGGCCATGGCCGCATGTGAACAGTTGCGATGTTGTGTTGCTGCATGTTGGTGCATCAATTACGTCAACCGTGAACACGCAACAAAAACGGTTGTAAAATTGTGGAGCCTTGGCAGTGATGCGCTGCATTACGAAAACATCCTTTTTTTCCCTGCATAGTGAATGCATCGCAACAAAAGATATTTTGCGTAAAACATGCATGTGTGCCAAAAGGCGAGTCAATTCTGCAATTCCAACAGAAGCTCATGTCGCCGACGCATGGAAGGCTTTTTTGCACGATGCAGCTTTGGTATCAATGTAGAAGGGTTTTGTTATTGCATGAAGATTTTCACAGCTGGGCATTGTGCGCCGCAGGCACGGGGGATTCGGTATGATTTCGGCAGTATGTGTTGTTGAAATGTTTTCTTCACTGGCAAACAGGATGCCGGCAACTTCGCCGGTGTCAGATGGCCGCACGAAGCTGGCCAAAGTGAAAGGCAAAGGCAGTCCAGGAGCAACTTTGCAGGGTTTACAGTCCTGCTCAGGTAGATAGAATCTGGCTTTGGGTATATATTAATAAGATCCCCATATACCCCATATTCTATCTACTTAAGGGGGACTACAGGGGTTCAGGTCTTGCTAGGCCGCAATGTTGCTTGTTGTCTGTTTCGTTCCGTGTTCACGCAGGAAAGCTTTCTGCGTCAACGTCGGGCGCTGGTCTACAGTCCGGTGACATTGATTGGAGGTCTCGATTGCAGTCTCTTTGTTTTGTTGTTTTTTGTATAGAACGTTGTCCTTGCCCCATGCATCATGCAGTCATAATTATGCAAGAGAAACTTTTCACAAATTCGGAAGCACGTGCATGTCATGCTGGCTTGTAGATAATTATTCCGCAATCGGTTGAACTTTTGATGACATTATCATGCTAAGTCTTGTGTGGCAGCTGAAGAAGCACCTGGTCATCCCTGAATGCATGGGTTGTTTTTGTCATTCGCAACGCGCAGCGGCACTGAATCAGACATTCCGCCATGCAGGGTTTTCGGCCTGGACTTGGAGACGGGCTCAGCTGGTGCCAAGAGCTTGGTGCATCCCAACATGTGGAGATATTTGTGCGGGCTCCGCTTGAGAGTCTTAAGCTTAGGCCTCCAGATCTCCCGTCCCTCCTCCGCCAAGGCGCTGAATGATTCAGCTGGTTTGTTGTGTGGGCTTTGACTCTTACATGCCAAGGCTTGGAACTGGACCAGGTGGAGGCGCATCGCAGAAGAGAAGCACGGTGGGTGTGAAGCTGGACAGCTTGGACAACTCTGCACCAGCCGCTGCCTTCGACTCTGTTGATCTGTCTCACCTAAGATCTGCCATAAAGAGATCACCAGGCTACCAAGAGAACTTGCCGCCGCTGTTGACTTTGCTTGACGAGCGGGGTGTAGACTATGGTCGCCCGAACGCAGATCGAGATGTTCCATTGCCGCTGGAGGCTTTCGAGGATTCCACAATGTGGACACGAACTCCAGAGGAATGGCAGCAAGTCCTGCAAGATTCTTCAGGACAAACTGTTCCGCTAGCATGTACAGCTTTGCGCACCATGGAAGACGGAAGTGGACGTTGGCAGAGTGGCAGCGTTCTGAGCTGGGACGCCGCAAGCCGACGTTACAATGTCAGATGGGTGAATGGCCAGGAGGATAAGGTCCTCAGCCTTCATGTTTTTTTCGAGGGAGATGATCCAGTGGTCTTTGCAGACCGTTTGAAGAAAGCTTTGGAGCAGAGGAGGTATGCAAACAGCCTGCTCAAGTATCATTTCTTTGTTGATAGTATGCCGGAAGATCGTTCTCGCAAGATTGGACGAGAATCCGTGTCAAGAATATCGCGACTTGCCAAAGGGATGTTGTGGGACGCGAATTCAGAATTTGCAGACAAGCTTGGCGGCAAGCTTGAGACATTACTGCAGGAGGCGCAACGGGAGTACATCCGTGTTCAGAATTTGATTACTTTCGAGAAGGTTCGCAGCCAGGGAAACCTTACTGTGCTGCCCGCAGACTTGAAGCTGCCACCACCTCCAGAGGCTGCCCCAGTGCCATACATGGCAGTCAAGGTGTTACCATCATGGGACACAAGCGCCATGGGAGCGCCGGATCCACAAGTTCCACGTGGCTTTCGGCAAGCCTTCGAGTGGTTTTGCAAGGCTTCGCTAGCGATCAGGCCTGAGGTCTGCGCCGCCTTGCAGGTCACGCGTGGGATGTGTTTAGACCTCCTCACGGAGAAAGTCTTCGAGACAGCATTCAACTCACCGCTTCGACTTCAGGAGTTCTCAGAGCGCCAGGACGGTCTTTCAAATTGTTGTTACTTTGCAGTCTGTGGGGAAGCCTCATGAGGTTTAGGTTGCTCAAATAGTTGGCAGTGGGAGATGTGCGGTGGACAGTTCTGATGCACACGTCCATTGGAGAGTTCTTGTAAAGTAGCTTTTTAATACGACATCTGCTGAAACGACTCAAATCCATGTTGTTTTTTGGCCTTGGATCGTTTACCTATCCCGCTTGTGCCCATGGTGCCAGGAAGCATCCATCATGCGCCTGAAGGGCCGCCTGGGGATGTGGGTGAATACCATCCGCCTGCTTCCTAGCTTTTTGCCCCTGTTGCATGTGGAAAGCCACTTAGCTCAGCGCCCGCTGGCGTCATTGATACCATCCGAGGCATGCGCATAACTCAGTGCCTGCAACAGGCAGGGCGTGCCAGCCATCGACAATTACTGGAATGAAGGCGAAGTTCTTCCTGGCAGGCAACTGTGAAGTGGTACCACCTCAATGAAACTTCGCTGGAGCAGGGCTGGCATGTTTGGAAAGCTTCGCTTTGCTACCTTTGCTCCCAAGACAAGTCCTCTTGAGTGGAACTGTTGCATGAGCGACATGTGCTTCAGGAACTACAGGGCAAGCCGTTTGCGGCCAATGTTGGTGTGTTGTGGGCTGATGATGCTTGAGGCTCAGATTGCCAGCAGCCAGGTCAGTGTGTCCAAGTCGGGTTCCACTGATTGCCATTGAGGTCCAATGCTTTCCTCCTGTTGGGTGAGGTCGCTGCAGGGTTGGTGTTGCTCTTGAGTGGAATTCCAAGCCTTGTGCCCAAGAGGTATGGTAGCTGATTTGTTCAGTCGGCTGGAACATGTTTGCAGGACAACCTCACGACGTTCGCACGCAGCTCAGTCTGACATGCGCGCACTCGTCATTGCTAGCCTTGTCACCACTTCCATGCAGAGTGATTTTCAGGTGCAAGTTCTGGAGGCCTTGACGCCTCTCAGGGTGCTGGCCTTGCAACCTCTGCGCACCTCTGCGTGGGGTGAACTGCATAGCTCCCTCAGGTTGAGATGGCCAGCGACAGGACGGTACTGAGATCCCTCCGAAACATAGCCAAGTTCTCAGAAGCTGGGCCTGGGCATGGTTCGTGTGGCACATGTCTTGTCATGTAGGTGAAGGAGGATGGCAAGGAAGAGACTGCAATGCCCTCAGAGCAGGGTGGCTGTAGAATGGCCCTGCATTTTTTCACTCGACATTGGCTGGCACAGCCATGCGCAGCCAGCTACAACGGACTAGCTTCAGGCTGTGGATCCTGCCTTGAAGAAGGCGCTGTTCAAGGCAGCTGGCATCAAAACCTGACAAGGCTTGCTAGATCCATGCCATAGCTTGGGAGGTAGAGATCATGGTGAACCCAGAAATAGCTGCAAAAGCTGCCGCAGCAGTCATGGCCTCGAAGCAATTCTGGCGGGCGTTTGGGCTGAAGATGTGGTCTGTGGCAGATGCTTTCCAGACTTTAAAAGGCCGAAGCAGCTGCTGCTGAAGATAAGAAAAAGACTGAGAAGAAAGGCGTGTGCCCAGATTTGGTTTTTGTCAGTGAGAAGTGACGCGGCAATCGCTATTTCTTGAGGCAAGGACAAGGGCAAGGACGCTCTGCATGGCAAGTGATGCCCTCACCACCTGCATTCTATTTACACCAATATAGTAGTCTCCATTTTCTTTTCCATTATCCCAATATAGGCCCAATATAACCCCAATATAGTAGCTTCCATTTTCTTTTCCATCAGAAGCCCGAAGGATGATGAGAAGAAACCTGAAGAGCCTCCCACGCTGCACTTCACCTTCAAGCCGCGGCCTGATGACTTGCACTTGCAGCTGCAGGCAGCTGCATGCAGCAGTATGGATGAACTGTGGAGTGGGAAGCCTTAATGGGATCCGCCTGTATGACTGGCGGTAAGAAGCTCAGGACAGATTTGGCGGAGCTGAAGCAGGTGGCTGTGGGCATCAACAATGGTTTTGTGCATGTGCTCGATTGGCAGAAGTCTTTCCATTTACCTACAGAAAGGAGCCATCTGCTGCCTTGATTGGAGGCTGTTCTTGGCATCTTTGACAAGGGAATGGCATCCTTCAGGGATGTGCACAGTATAGAAAGTGCCAGCACCTCAGCATCTCGGTGCGGAATCCCTAGGCTTCCGAGGAAGCTTTGTTGCCATGACTTTGTCGATGACCCTCAGGTGCTCCTGCCTCATCTTATTCGAGATCATCATTTGGACCGCTTCACATGTCTTCACGCAATGAATAACATCCGCTGTCATGTCTGGGGTGATCAAGGAACTTAAACATACCATATAGCAATCTGATATTTTTAAGTCTTTTGTACTATGCATCTTGGTTAGCCCGGATTTTGGACTTGCTGTTGCTGATGCTATTGTCGAAGTTGCTGCTTACAGGACCCTATTTTCACACCCACAGATGCCTGGGTGCAAGATCTTCGTTCTCGCCTGGAGGTGAGCCGGTGCAATGGAAGACCATGCTGTCAAAATTATGGGCTAGTCTCACCCCTTTTGTTTGTAGACCATATCACCGTACCTAATATATTATTTCTGGTCTCAAAATGGGACCCTAATTTTAGGAACTACAACAATATGTATTTAGGGATATCAAAATGGGACCCTAATTCTAGGAACTATAACAATATTTCTTTAGGGATATCAAAATGGGACCCTAATTCTAGGGCCTTAGGAACTATAACTACCCATATGAGCTATAGTCTAAACTCCTAGTATCCCCCTTAGTAACCCCTATAGTAGTCCCCTATATAATCCTCTATATAACCCCCTTTAAGGAGTTTAGACTATTGTACATATCGAGAGGAGTCTGTGCCTGCGGCAGGAGACGTTGACGAAACAGGAGCCTTGGCTCAAAGGCATCTTAGAAGCCTTAGAGAGCTTCAAGGACCCAGGGGATCCTAGGGGCTTGGTTAGGGTTTCGTGGTCTAAACCTCCTTCAAGGGGGGATCATATAGGGGATTATATAGGGTTTAGGGTTTAGGGTTTGGGGCCTAAACTCCTTAAAAGGGGCTCTCATATACGGGGGTTAGTTGGGGGGGATACTAGGGGTTTAGACTATAGCTTGCCTTAGCTTGTGCAGCTCATGTACTGGCAGGATGTCGTGCAGCTGGATCCGGAGGCATGAAATCCTCTGCTTCCTCCCTGCTGGTGTCACGCTACGAAGTCTGATTTTCAGGCGGCAGCCAATAGGCTACAATCCGAACCCCAGCCACCGGCAACCGTGCGGAGCATGATCGAGGAGAAAAAGGAGTCGACTGCTCAGACTCCAAGGGCGAAGAGTGTCGGTTTGGACTCAGAGCACTCGGCTTCAGACCAGGCGCATTCGACAGATCCAGGAATCTATTCCGGATGACAAGGCCTTTTAGCTTCTCGGGATTCGTGTGAGACGCAACTTGTGGACAGCATCGTAGGCTTCAACCGTGCAAGCTGTCAGGAGTCTGTGAGCGTTGGTTTCTACCGCCTGCTGCCTAGCAGTGTGGCCATAGCACTGGCTCAGAGTACTTAGGCAGTTGTGCCTTAAGCTTCAGAGTCATTCACATGAGGGGTTGAATCGGGCGCCATCCGGAACCAGCTGATCGAAAAGCTGGAGCAGCCGGAGCCTGAAGTTCTTCAAGTGGAGACAGGCAATGTTGTTAGAATTTCTGCACTTCTTGGGTGCTACAGGCTCCTAGATGGAATCCGAGTTTGTGAGGTCTGTGCAGCTGCTCTTGAAGTACTTGGCAGACACGCTGGAGGTGAACATCCATGAAGTGCGAGCCTTTTGCGGGCGGATGGTATTCATTCATGTTATTCAAAGGGCTTTGGCCAAGGCAACTGCTGCATTCGAGGGCATTTTCGCCAAGCTGCAAACACAGGCCTCTCAGGGTGTGCTTGCAAGACTGCCTAGTACTCAGTGCTGGCCAGGTCTCCACCATTGAGGAATGCTCTGACATGAAGGAGCCCCAGATAGGATTCGAATAGAAATGTCAAGTCATCAGCATTCATTTGCCTTGGCAGGACTTCCTGAAGTCCATTCCGAGCGAGCTGGCCAAGCTGGCGGGCGCTGTAAACGAAGCCATCTCATTGACCGACTTGGTGCACTCCTCAACGTTGTGGATCTGTTGCAGTGTCGGGTTGCCGTCGTAGGGTGACTCACGTTTGGTGCTTCTTTTTCGTTCTATGATCCTTGCCATGACTCGAGTACCCTGTTCCAAGAACCGCAGTTAGCTACAGGAATACGTTGGCAAAGCCACGAAACAGACATGCAAAGAGTTTGTGCAGAGGTCGAAGATTTGCACTACGAGCTCCCGGCAGAGACGTTGGAAGCGCGGTGGGAGATGCGGCCTCCTCAGCTCATGTGGGTGCTTTCAACCGCTGGGGGCAGCAAGGTAACTTGATCACATGGGAGTGTGTCTTTTGGCCCAAAGTCTTCCACATTACTTAGACAGGTGCATGACCAGCAAGATTCTTTTGATATTGGTGGTTCTCTGGATATTGGTTTCAAGCCAGCAGGTTACGCACTACAACTGAATCATGAGCACATGAGCTTCGAAGCCACAGAATTCATAACATTCGCTCACCGACGTGGATAGCACGGTGACAGGTTTGGATCCTCTGGGCTGGTGAAGTCCAGGGCAGCGAAGTGCCTCGAGTGCGCCGGGAGATGCCTAGGGTACTCAAAAATGAAATGACTGACGCTGCAAGCAAGGTACTTGAACAACAAGCATGATGAGTTTCTGCAGGGTCAAGAGTCTGAACAGAAGGCAGGCCATGATCATGGGCTAAACAGCATTGAATCTGCTGCAGCCTGCCTTTTCCTTTATCGTTGCTGTAACGTTGCTTGACTACAGCCAGGAATTTGAGACTCGCCTGGTTCGACTGGAGGAGGCAGGCGACTTTTGACAGTTGCTGCAACGCCAAAGAGCAAGAAGCAACCTGTAAAGCGTCCTGAGTACGAAGCTGGAGCAACTAGTGAGGTCATTGAAAACTTCTCGCAGTACAAGGATCTGGGGCAAGTTAGAGAAGTCGCAGAGAAGGCCTGCTGCAGGTTTTTCTTGCAGTTGGTTTGTGTCGTCATCAGTGACTTACATGTAGCATTAATCATGCCGTGTTTTAACCCCTTGTTGCTGCCTGAAGTATGGCAGGTGCGGAGCACGTCCGAAGAGATCAAGCAGTGCCAGGTTCGTCATTTCCAGAAATCTGCCTTCCTTTGTACATTTCGGAGCTCCGTGTGAGTCTGTGACATGAGTTGATATCGACGCTGCAAGCGGAGCCAGGATTTGGTCCGCATGTTCAACTCTCGCGAGGCCTTTTTCCCAGTGTTTGGTCACAGTGGGCCGCCCCTTTGTTGATGGTCGCTGCTTGCTGCCAACAAATCATTCGCATGAATATTTTGAAGATATCTCCCATGAGACTCAACGGAAGGTGCTGTTCGACCGGGTCGGAGTCCCAGTCTGATGCTTCAATGATTGCTTTGCCCAGCTTGGAACATAGCAACCTGGCTTAGCCGTGTCCTGTTCTCTTGGGTCCTGAAGTCCTCAGGACCAGACTGACTACTCCAACCTCAACACCATGATCAAGACCTTTGAGCCGTACAACAATCTCTGGAAAACCGCCGGAGACTGGGTCAACAACAAGGAGGCTCCAGAGCTGCATTTCGGCTAGGAAGGAACGTGTATTAGGGAATGCGTGCTTGTCGTGAAAGTGCGATGGGAAGTGGGGGGCGCTAGGATCCAACTGAGAACGCCTTGCTAGGGGGGTCGGGAGGCTTTCAGACACACCTGGCCTGAATTACAATTCTGCGGATGATATTCTACTTCCCTGCTACCTTGCAGACGGAAGGCGTGGCTGCGCGGTCCGTTCGATGAGATCGACCCTAGATACTGCGAGAACGAGGCAGGGAGCACTTGCCCTCCACGGACTACATGTGCCTGGTCTTTACATCATGGAGAGCTTGCACAGGTGACGAATGGCATCCGTTTGCTCTTCAAGACCATTCGAACTCTGAAGGAGAACGAAGAGACCAAGGTGCGCAGCCACTTGCCACAAAGCACATCGTCCCCACGCCCCTCCCCCCGGCATCCCCCGGCTTTGTCTCTGTCAGTCCATTTGCGGCATCGCCGAGCAGATCAAGACGGAGCTTGAAGAGTCGCAGCCCCGGGCTCTCTGCGATCTGTTCAGCAAATCCTGACTGGGGGCTTGTAGGGACTAATGGAATATTTTATGGAGGGATTATATTATAGGCATCATCACCTTATTCTCTACCACAATGAGACAACTCAGTGAATTCGATGCAGGTTCAAGCCAAACCTGCCACTTGTCACCGGTCTTCGCAATGAGGGCATGCGACAGAGACACTGGGCTACCCGGTGCACGCTTGTTCTTTTCAGCCTTCAGCGTTTCTTTCAAGGTTTAGCGGCTGCTTCTTGATATGCTGCAAAATGCTCTTCTGGTGGTGCTCTGCCAGGAGCAGATCTCAGAAAAGCCGCGTACCAAGCTGTTGGGACTTCCACTGGAAAACAGTGTTGTGATAGCTATGTTCAAAGCAAACAGAAATGGCAAAGACACAAAGTACACGATTACTATTATTCTTACGAATATCATTACTATTATTTTTATCCAGTTATTTGTATTTTTATTATTATTGCTACTGCTAATTTTTTGGGTGATATTTGGAAAGCAGTGCACCTGGCAGGTCGAGCGTCCAAGTTGGGCCTGGCATGGACGGCGGCTTCACACTGCAGAGGCCTTTCAAGCAACCGAACAGAAAGTGCAGTAGGACTCAAGGGTCTCCATTTCATTTTTTTTGCGATTTGATTGTCTATTATTCCATCTAACCTTGCATATCCCTGTATCATCAGCACCCCCCCCAACCCCTCAACCCTAAACCCTTTGTTTTCAGTCGTGCGTCAGGATGCTGGATCTCGGTCTGCTCAACTTTGCGAACGAGGCTTCGTGCGCCTTTGGGCCGTCAAAAGTTTCTGGGATTTGCCCAACATACTTCAGGGCCTGGGGTTTCGGAATCAAAGGGCTCAACATGGCTTAACATACCCAATATGCTATCATGTCCCATAGTAATTATGCCCAATCTATCATAATGCTAAAGATATATAACGATGCTATTACACTGGTGGAAATCCTGAGGGTCTCGTCATGCTGACAGGTCGCAGAGGTGGGAGATCGTGCAGGTAAGGAGTATGGTCTCGAAAAGACGCTCAACAAGATGAAGGCCAGACACTAGTGGCTGCTTCTTTGTCTTTAAAGGAATGATCAAGCTTCAGAGAGGACCTTGCGTGATTTGAGGCAGACTGGGAACCTCTGCAGTTCGACTTGTCAGAGAAGTACCGGCTGGCCACTGAGAAAAGGGACATGTTTGTAATCAATCAAGGATTCTGCAAGCATGGCACGCAGCCGAGCGAGGAAAACGGGCACGTACGTCTTGAAGGGAGATGGCGAGGCCTCATGCTCATCCACTTCAGCAGCACCAGAAAAACGGCTGGCCATCAACAGGCGATGGTTCTTCTGGACGAGCATATCGTCACAACGCAGGCCACGATTGGCTCATCAGCATGTCTCGGGCGTGGAGATGAACTGCAAATATAATCTGCAGGCGATGATGTTTTCCACTTTCAAAGGCCCGTTTGAAGAGGATATCGATGAGTCTGGAGCCCAATTTATGCGCAGCTTGCTTTTTGACCGGCGCGCTATATCTCCTCTGTACAAAGGTGGAATGCGCGCCTCATGCGCGTGTCAGAAACACTCGAAGAGTGGAAACACTGGCGACTTGTTATTGTGCGTCTATTCGCAGATGCCTTGTGTCGTGTCATTTGCCGGCTAAGTTTCAGCTTGGCAAGACTGCTAAGCCAGGTTGAAATGCCAGAAGGCCTGGATGTACCTCCAACCCATCTTCGACTCAGATGCAGCGGAGCTTAGTTTTGCACTCGCAAGTGCCTAGAAGTATCCCCCAGCAACACCATAGAAATGCCTAACTGAGGACATCATGCGCCAACTTCCCACTGAGGGTGTGGATCTCAAAATGACCGCGCTGCAAGTCACCGTGAAATATCTCAAAATTAGCAGCAGCAGCAGCAGCAGCAGCATCAGCCTACGCAATCCCACACAACAGGATCCTTGCTACAGGGAAGGTTAGGAAGCCCGAAAGAGCATTCATCACTTGGAGAACACCCACACAAGAAGACCTGCAAAGTCGAGGAAAGCGCTTCAAGCACGTCGACGCCACCTGGCGTCAGGACTAACTGCTGTGACAGTGATTGGGGCAAGTGATGTACCATGATGATAGAGAATGAATGCAGCAAACAGATGTTGGGGGTTTCCGAGCTGGCGTCGTGATTCTCAGCTGGTGCGTCTTGTTTCCCTCTACTTGGATTATTTGTTGCTGGCAGGAGATGATCAACACAAGGGAGAATCCGAAGATCATTGACATATGCGCCACGGAGGGTTTGCTCGAGAAGTGGCGTGAATGCAACGTGTCCCTGCCGTGTGTTATTTTGCCTGGAGCCATCCATGTCAAAGCTCTAGTTGCATTCACTATCCCCCAAACAATATGAGAGAAGTGTGTAACACATCTAGGAGTATCATATGCAGTTCCCAAAGTGGGCCCGCAGCTTTGACAACTGCTTACGCATTGCAGGGTTTGGTAGTGTGATGCATGAGTTTGTGCCAGATCACCCTGGACATGGTGCAGAAGGGCTTGGAGGACCACACAAGAGTACAATGCTGCAATAGTATATTGGGGTTATATTGGGATAATGGAAATAAAATGGAAGCCACTATATAGTATATAGGGGTGCATCGGTAAGATGATGAAATGCCCTCGAATAGACAGCAGCGTGGGCATGGAGCTTTGATGAAAGTCTGGGGGTCTTGACTCATAAGCACGCCTGCTGTTGAAGAGGACTACCTGGAAACGAAACGGCTCTGAACTCAGGGGTTGTCATACCCATCACCTTCATTGCGCCAGCTGTCCCATGCAAGCACAGCTTCTGAAAGCTTCAGCTGTTGCTCACAGACAGCCCGCACGAGTGTTGAGCTGGTCTCCATTTTGTAGCTGCTTTGAGATCTGCTTTGCGACCTGAGCAATTGATTGAGGAACGGCTTTGCGCGCTTCTACTTCCTATCCAACGATGAGCTGCTGGAAATCTTGTCGCAGACCAAGGACCGCTGCACATAGCATTTGCGAAAGATAGGGGCTCGGATGCTGGTCCTCTGGATTCAACTCATTTGGATGGCACAGCCCGACTGAAGATGGCGAGGATCCGACAAGAGTGCAGCCCTTCCTGTCAAAAGTCTTCGAGGCCATGTCCAAGGCTGTGCGCTCAGCAAGCTGATGAGTGGCAGGCCCCTTTCGAGACGACACTGCTACAGAGTACTGTAGTGTGGCGTTCATTGTGGCGTTCAAGTGGCATGTACAGTATGTCACGGCATGTGGAGTAGCGCAGAGGTGAAACTCTTTACCTGTTGTTTCAGCTGATGGCTAATGACAATAAGGGCCGTCTCTCTGGATTGGTTACGTTCTTGTTTTCTCGTTTGTGTCCTGTTTTAAATATGTGTTCAAGACGGCCTGCCCCATGTTTAAGATTGGGGTCTTATGACAAAGAAGCTCCCCTGGAGCCTCAAACCCTGACACCTCCGTGGATTCCAAAGGTCAGCTTCACTCCAGACAACGAGATCTCCCTCATGGTGCTGCACCTACGGCTGCAGTCGCTGCATGTTTGTCGAAGCGAGGGCTGTCTGTGAAGGGCCTGTGGCAAGGTGTCGCCGGAAGGAGAGACGGTTGAGATGGTCGCACCAATAGTCACGCACCAGAAGGCCGAATAAAAAATGCGGAGTAGCAAAAGCTTGATATCAATGTTCTGAAGGCGGTCGAGGTATGGATGGGAGACCTGCAGGATGGTATGTGTGGAGCAATCCGCAACCAAATTGCAGTTGAGCAAAAATGCTAGCAGCACTGGGAAAGTGCTTTGTGTTTCGGCTTCTTGGGAATATATATGCTCAGGCAATGCTCTGCAAGTTGGCATCGGTACGGGGCTTACTCGACTGAGTGATGTGGCAAGCCAGTAGTCGGGAGGACGGGGGTGAACTAGCACATAGCAGATGCTTCAGGCACCTACCCAACCATGGAGCGTACCGAATGGGTGCTGTCAAATGCTGCCCAGATTGTGCTCAACGGTTCCCAGGCAAACTAGCCCGTGCTGGTGTTCTGGCAAGCGTTAGTGATTTGTTTGGATTGAAGGTGTTCTGGACTTCTGAAGTTGAAGAAGCTTTTGATTCTGGCACAGTTCGTTTCCCAGATTTTTAGATTAGATTGCGTGCTAAAGATGTTGGTTGCATCTTTCCTCTGCCTGACGCTCAGCTCCCCGACTACGCAAAGAAGCTTTCACAGCAGATCCTGGATCTGATTATGCTCCTGCGTAAGGGGGTCAATGTCTCAGCAGGAAGCTCAAGCTCAGCAACTTTGATAAAGACATGCTCTTGTGCAGGTCACCAAGTTGCAGACAAAGACGATGAACGCTCTGATTGTCATTGACGTGCATGCGAAGGCTGTTGGGCTGTCGTCTTGAAATTTGAGAGAAGATGCATTGCTAAAATGCATTGAATTCCAGGATGTGATTTGGGGCTTCGTTGAGCAGGGCGTGAAGGACAAGGCTGGGATTGTCTGCTAGCTGCCATGAGCTGCTTGGGCTTCCTTGAAGCTCCTGGCAGTTCTCCTTCGAGTGGATCTCCCAGCTTCGCTACTACTGGGAAGTTGATGACCGGCAGCAGGAGAACATGTGGGCCTTGGCCCAAATACCCTCGAACCAGCCTTTCAGTCGAGCAAGATGGTGGTGTTGCTAGGTCAAATGCGTGCAAACATCCTTTCCATATGGCCGGCTTCTGACAATGATTGTCTTGTGTTCAGATCTCTTATAAGGGTCCTGTGTCCTGTGAGGTTATGAGTACCTGGGCAATTCCATGAGACTTGTCATCACGCCGCTCACTGACATGCACCGAGCTGAGAGGGGAAGCCACGAAGATGGCTCCAAATAACTATATACTTCCCCTTAAGTAGATAGAATATGGGGTTATATTGGGGTTGTATAGGGATCATGGAAAAGAAAATGGAAACTACTATTTAGGGTTAAGGGTTTAGACAGTCCTTATCCTGAGCTTACGCCTAAGGTGCTACATCACCTTGATGGGAGCCCAGTCCCTGAGCTTGGGAGGAGCTCCTGCAGGCATGGGAGGGCCTGGGAACAGGTTGTCTCTCGAGGATTTTTGTGAGCTTGATCTTTAGACCCCCTAAACCCTAAACCCTCCCAGAGAAGGACCCCAATTTCGCAAAACCTTCCAACGGCGTTCTGGGGCAGGCCCTGCGGGTACGGGGAAGACCGAGACCACGAAGGATTTGGCCAAGGCAATGACTGCAGACCATATGAGCTGTAGTCTAAAGTCCTTAAAGGTGGGTTTTATAAAGGGGTTATATAGGGGGTCATATTAGGGGACTGCTATAGGGGTTATTAAGGGGGTACTAGGAGTTTAGACAATGATACATATCTTTTCTTACTGGTTCTAAGTCGGGGAGAAGGGAATAAGATGCGTATTAGCCCAATATAATGTATTCCTTTACTCCTTACTAAGAGCCAGTAAGTTTTCAGGCATCTGGTTTTGGGGTTAAGGGTCACAGGTGTTAGTTTAGGGTTTCGCCTGTAGGGTTCTAGTATTGGGTTTCAGGGGTCGGCTCCGGATTGAGACCTTAATGGTTGATCGTTTGGCTGTATAGGTGTTGGGTGATCTATTCTCGGTGCCAGGCCCTCGCCAAGCAGTGCGTGGTCTTCAACTGCTCACCAGAGATGGACTACATTATGGTGGGCAAGTTCTTCAAAGGCCCTGCAGCTGAAGACTCCCTTCTCTTCAGAAAGCTTGGAGTAAAAAGAATGTCCTTGTAGGTCCCAGTAAGGACCTACAAAGCCGTAGTACACTTCCGACTGATATTCATACATAGTTATATATATATATATCATATATATATATCAGAATGTATATATATATATATGGTTTTATATCTAGTATTATACATGAATAGTTATACATATCTATATATGTATGGCAAAGTGTCCAGGCCTGGCCTTCTCCGGAGCCTGGTGCTGCTTTGACGAGTTCAACCGGATCAACATCGAGGTCTTGTCCGTCATTGCCCAGCAGCTCATGGTCCTTTTTGGTGACTCGGCAGACTGAGAGATTAAGTTGAAGTTTTTACATTTTTCGTTGCGGTGCAGCTTTGGAGATCTTAGGTAAGAAGGCTGAGCAGCTTGGCCGACTTTGGTGTTCCCTCTTATCATCTTGTCTTTGGGATGTCCTTGCAATTTTTTGGCAGTTGACGTCCTCGTAGGTTGGGTAGCTACAACGACACCGTTGAGCTGGAATTTGAGGGCACTCTCATTGCCGCAGTCTCAGTCCACTCTGCCCGGAAGTCTGCTGTGAGTGTTCTTGTTTGCTACATGTTCTGAGTATTCTGATGTCCAAGATTGCCCCCTGATGCGGGGAACTATCCACGTGCAGCTCTTTGCAGGTCATGAAGCCCACATTCAACGTCTTCATCACCATGAATCCAGGCATAGTATTTTGGAGCAAGAATCGTGCCTGAGGCTTATGGATCTGTTCCTTCAGCTTCCTCATCATAGATGCGGCTTTATTTTTCCCATCAAGCCACACAATACTGTTCGGTAAGCAGCTTCCTCACATGTCCGCTAGACTAGACTCAAGTGAATATGGGACGTGCAGCTCCTGCTAGGATATGCTGGGCGTGCAGAGCTTCCGGACAACTTGGCAGCACTTTTCCGTCCTGTCGCCGGCTCCCTACGCAAGTTCCAGTGTAATCAATCTCCTGTCAGCTTAAATCGAGGCCATGATGGTCCCGGACTATGCGCTCATCGGTGAGATCATGTGCCCGACCAAACGATTTTTTCTACCTCACCTGGCATGCTGGATGGACGGCACACTGATGTTTTCAGGTTCTATGCATACGGCTTTACGGAGGCAAAGATCTTGGCAAAGAAGATGGTCGCATCCTTATATGCTTCAAGCAAGCAGATTCTGCATTCAGACGTCATGTGTCGGATTGAACAGGTCACAACATTCACCCTCTCGTCTGAGCAGTTGTCTTCACAGCTTCGACCTGAAAGAATCAGTCAAGTCAAAGATTCTGAGAGTTTCCATTTCATCTATATAAATAAATAAATATATATATATATATATAGAGGCTCTATATAGCCATGCTACCCTTGTATATCCCTAATACCTATACGCATACATCCCTACATTCCCCTGTATAGCCCCAAGATTCAGGCTGTTTGTGCATGATGGATATGATGGCCTTGAGGTTCCACTACGATTATGGCATGCGAGCAGTGAAGAGCACCATTGAGATGTGCGGCAAGCTCAAACGAGAGGCTGATCCATCAAGGGGTTCTATAGTGGCAAAGACTATGTACGGATTGTATAGAGGAGAGACCCTAAGCCCTAAGCCCTGAACCCTGAGATATAGGGTTGATGTGAGGTCATAGTGGCATTGTCATGGATTATACTCCCCCCCTAAGTTGGGTATATTATAATAAGATCCCCATATACCCCATATTCTATCTACTAAAGGGAGACTATAACCCCAATATAGTATACCCTATTGTAATATTGTAGTTTCCATTTTCTTTTCCAATATGCAAACATAACCCTAATATTCTATCTACTTAAGGTGGACTCTATATGCCTGCTGGTCCTTGCCCAGAAGAGCCAAAAATGCTGCAGGTGGGCGACCAGCTTCCAGAAGACCAGATCACGCTCCGTGCGCTGCGGGATGTCAACGTTCCGAAGTTCCTGAAGGTGGGAGTGGTGGTTTAGGGTTTAGGGTT